TGATTGATTTGGCGTCCCGCAGCTGTCGGCGGCGGAGAGCAGCCGGGACCAGGAACTGTACGACCTCCACCGGGAGCTGGCAGACGGCAAGTTTCTACTGGCCAAACTGGACGAAGCGCTTCACAGGTGAGAGGAGCCGGCCCTTCCACCACGCTAAGACAAGCCGGCAACGGGTCCACGCAGGAGAAAATCCATCCACAGGAAGAGAAAAGCTCTCCAAGAACCACAGTACTAATTTGAATCTTTTCAGAATCCCGAATAAGGACCTGGAAGCGGCCAGGAACGGTTGCAGGGCCAAAGTCGAAGAAATTGAGAGGAGCATTACTGCTGCTCAGGTAGATGACAACCACATTCTGCTCATCCTGTCACGTAGGATGTCACCAGGTTTTAGATTTAGGCGTAGAACATGTCATTACACGTTGTGTGAAAGGGTGTTCCACATCGTGATATTAAAGTGAGTGACATCACCGTGTCATCCTGTGCCTTCAAACACGTTCCTGCTCAGTCTGTGGGGGTCATCCAACCACTATGTGTGCTATTTGTACTGTTTACGCCCTATCGGACAACCCTCTCAGTTTTCTCCTTTAAAAGTTTGGTTCAACCTGAGCGCTGCTGGTTTTTGTCCACAGAAGCGGTTCCAGGATCAGCTGGAGGAGCTGAATAACAGGATGAGAGGCTGTGAGGCGTTACCTGTCAGAGGCACTAACCAAAACCAGTCCGAGCACGCAGCTGCTCCAGTAAGCCTTATTTATTTATTTTTTGAAACCTAGCTTTGCTCATGTACCAGCGTACGGCTTTATTTGTCTATTCTGGATGAGATGGATCAGCTTTTAGGTTTTAATGCGAGTACCGCTGCCATTTAACATTTGAGCCAACATCAAGTCATCAGATTGGACAAAGTTCAGAAAGAATTGAGGCTAAATTAGGCTCATTTAGGAATATAGCTGATCACGAGTGTGTGTGTGTGTGTGTTTGTGTGTTTCAGCTATCTGCGGCAGCCCAAGGGTTTGTCCCTCAGACCTCAGCGCGGGCGTCCGGGGGCTCCCCCGCCCCCCCCCAGCTCTCCTCGCCCCCGGCCCCCAGGGCCTCGGCCTCTCCGGGCGGGGCCCAGCACCGAGCGGGCCCCCGCAGGCCGGAGCCCCCCCACAGCAGCGTCTTCGACAAAGCCATGGAGACGCTGGCCTCCATGTTCCCCACCCACTCCAGGTAACGCCCCCCCGAACAATAAGTCCAAACAAGTTTAACCCAAAAATATTTATTTCTCACAATTATGAAGGCTGGAGGGTTAGGGTTAGGGTCATTAATGTGGGCCACCAGTCACGATAACATCAGTAACAGGTCAGTTTGAAATGAAAGACACAATTCAGTTACATTTTGGGGTCTTTTTATCCTTGTAGTATCGAAAATGGTATCGAGTATCGAGTATTTTCCTGAGTATCGGTATCGAGTTGAAAATTTTAGTATCGTGACAACCCTAGAACAAAGTCTCTGACCCCCCCCCCGATCCTCAGGTCGGACCTGAAGAGATACATCCAGGAGTACCGCGCGTCCAGAGGGACCCTGAGCAGCATGACTCTGCAGGACGTGGTCGGTGGGGTCACCCAGACCATCCTGGACCATCAGGTGGGCAGAGGGCCACACAGGCCAGACATTTGGAGATGGAAAAAGACGGAAAAGCTCTGCTTTTTTTCACATTTCAAGATGTATATCTATGACTTTTCTTTTCTCTGTTCCCTCAGGAGAGGCAGGGCTCTGCCAGGGCCGGCGTCGTTGGCCGGGGGAGCCCCTCCCAGCGCGGCAGCCCCCCTCTGGCCAGCTCGCTCCCGGTCTGGCAGCCGGTCACTCACCAGAGGCCCAAAGCATGCAACGCGGTAAGTTCTACATCCCTCTCTCCATTTCAAAGCACGGGGCTCCATCAGCTCAGGGGAACGTGACGAGTCAGCTTTTCCCATGAACCACTGATCACTTCTCAAGTTCTCCTGTTTTTTTTCCAAACGATCTGGAAATTTTCGAAAAGAAATGACATACAGTGGGGGAAATAAGTATTTGACCCCTTGCTGATTTTGCAGGTTTGCCCACTTACAAAGAATGCTTTTTTTCCTTTATCAGATCAGATCAATTTTTATAAATTCATATGATTTTCTGGATTTTTCTGTCTTTCACTGTTAGAATGTACATATGATTAAAGTTATAGATCGTTGCATTCTTTGTAAGTGGGCAAACCTGCAAAATCAGCAAGGGCTCAAATACTTATTTCCCCCACTGTATATGGGGGAGTGTCTAACGGACCAGATCACAAGGGAAGTCCTCAATTTTTTGCAAATGCCAGTAGCTAAGGGAACCCCCGGCGGGGGGGTGGGGGTGAGGGTGGGGGTGGGGGGGCGTGGCCTGTGTCGGTGCTGACCGTGCGTGTCGGTTCCAGCTCAACATGGATGACCCGTGCATCATCTGCCACGAGGACATGAGTCCGGAGGAAACCTGCGTGCTGGAGTGCAGACACAGCTTCCACGAGGAGGTCAGTCCGCCCGTGCGGTTGTGGGGGGTGCGGGGTCTCTGGGGCCGCTGGTAGTCTTCCTCTAACTGGACTCTTTGTGTCCAGTGCATCCGGTCCTGGCTGAAGGAGCAGAGCACCTGCCCCACCTGCAGGAACCACGCCCTGCTGCCCGACGAGTTCCCCGCCCTGTCGGGAAAACGCCGCCAAGCCCCCTGACCCCCCCCCCCCCCACAACATCTGTGCCGTTTTCCTTCTCTTTTTTTCTTCTAATCCTAACAAGTAATCAAGGCTCCTGATGGTGATACAATCATGAGCTCTGTGTTCAGAAGACTGAACAATAACAGCTCCTGTACGTTTGCACCTCTGTTCCATCTGTGTTCCAGATGTTAGGAGGTGGGAAAAGTTTTGAGATTTTTTTGTTTTTTGCGGAAAAGACATCAGACTTTGGCTTTTAGACTTTTGTGTCCTTTTGTTTTTAATGATACATACGGTGGTAATTACTGAATGTCAGCATTGTTTAATCATTGATTTGAATACTTTTTACGTTTTATTTTTAAACTGTTAACTGTGCTTCCAGAGGCTTTATATGTGGCACAAAGTGGTTGCTGTGTTCATAAAATATTTTTAAACATCTGTCATGCGGGATCTCCTGGAAAAAAAAAAATTAAAGTAAAGCCACTTCTGACTGATTATCGTCTTATTTGATCTATCCATTCTAAGGAAATACAACCTAAAAGTGTCTCCATGTAGTCCCTCCCCAGGTTGCAATCTATTCCATTAGCTCTTTTTTATTAAGCTAAAGATAATGACATTGGTAATGACAAAGACTAACTATTTTTTTACAGATGGAAAGAGCAGATGCTCAGATTTTTTAATCAAACAGCTCAATAGAACTGACAGCCAGAATGATTTATAACAACAAAACTGCTTTGAAATTTCCTCGGATGGCTTGATGCTCATATTTAAATGCTGTCCTCTATATAAAAAAAATTAAGTAGGCAAAAGTCGCAGTTATGTGGAATTTCTGGAACAAAATCGTGAACACGTTTCAGTGCAAATATGCCCAAAAAAATATACAAAGGTCTGATAAGTGAAAAATGTACAAGTCATATTTTTTACACTTAAAATAACAAAAAGAACTTAACGGTGGCCACTCTGGCTTCTGAATGCTCTATAAGTTGATGAAGTATTCTCTTAGGGTGGACCAGCTTGGGGGCAGTGTCCTCGGGCCAGAATGTGTCCCATCTGACTCCGCTGGCGGCTGACCCCAGAGCGGCTGACCCCAGAGCGGCTGACCCCAGAGCAGCTGACCCCAGAGCAGCTGACCCCAGAGCGGCTGACCCCCAGAGCGGCTGACCCCCAGAGCTGCTGACCCCCAGAGCTGCTGACCCCCAGAGCTGCTGACCACAGAGCAGCTGACATTCAGACTCTGCACAGCTTGAGGGGGAAATTCTCCGTGATCAGATGGTCATCGTGAAGCACGATCACCACGTTGATTTCAAACTCTGAAAAACAAGCATGTCTGGAGTCAGGCGTGCTCCAGGGGGAGGGGCCAGAAACAGGGGGGAGGGGCCAGAAACGGGGAGGAGGGGCCAGAAAACGTCTGCTTTCACTGACCCACTTTGAAGTTGGTGGTCTCCAGCGTGGGGCAGGTGAAGAGGCGGGGGAAGACCATGTGGACGGGGATGGGGAGGCCGTGGCACACGTCCCCCTCGGCTATCTGGATGTTTTGGATCTCGGTGGCGTCCCGGGCGTAGCCCTCAGCGCAGCCTGGGGGGGGGACGCCGGACACTGAAGTGACCGCCCGCCCGCCGCCATGCTTCTGAAGCGAAGGGGGGGGGGGGGCGGTGGACTCACCACAGGTCTCCACCCGGACCAGCTGCAGCTCGATGCTCTTGATGGGGACGTCCGAGTTGTCCACCACCACCTCCCCGGTCAGCGGCTGGCTGATCACGCAGCTGGTGGCGTCCAGATGGCCTCTGACCAGGAACTTTGGCAGAGAACTCCTCTGAGGACAGAAACGGACATCTGTTGATCAGCTGCATGGTGGTTTTTTGGGGTTTTAGGGGGTGGGGGTGTGTGTGGTTCTCACCTCGCGGGTGTTCTGCAGCGTGTCGGGGGTGATGGTGAAGTTGACCGGCGTGGGAACAACTTTGGCTTTCTGAGGCTGAAAATCACAGGAAGTCTGAGTGCACCCCGCCGGACAGCCGTCCCGGGGTCAAACGTCTGACCGGACTGACCGCTCACCTGACAGTGGACGATGAACTCACAATTCCTGCTCAGGTCTTTGGCCAGCAGCGAGCGCCTCAGGTCGCAGCGCAGCGTGTACTGCACGGACACACACGCACACACACACATCAGCCACTGGTCAGGACTCTTTTAGCATCGATGCTTTTACTTTGAAGTAGATGTTTTATTTTGGAGTTTGTTTTTTCGCGGTTCCTCACAGACGATGGCAGCTGACCTCATATAAAGTTTAAACGAATGTCTGTATGTGACTCACCTTTTCTGATCTGCTGTTTATTTGCAATCATTCAAACAGAGTTATTTATTGCAAATTAGCATACTTCAGCTAATTAAGTGAACATGTTTTTTTTCTGTTGCCCTCAGCTCTATATGCTGGACCTGCACAGATGTGCTAGATACGTTTAATTTAAAGCTGTACAGTTTGTTCATTGGAAATTTTTATTACAGAATGATAACTATTCTTTGTTTCTGTGTATATGTTCCAGAACTGCTTTCTGACCGAAGCCCTGCAGTGGTCAGTTAGGCGGTAAGTGTTGGGTAGAATGTGTAAACCAAAGAGGTTCACAGCTCCCTCTCCCAGAAGCCAGAACCAGGGCCGCCTCAGAGGGATTTTCACCCACCTGAATGTTGACGAACACGCCGTGGTAGGTCTCGTACAGCACTTTGTTGCCTTTAGTGAGCAGTGGGAACTCGAAGGGAATGTCCGTCTTGCCGGCCGGGATTTTTCCGGCCTTGGAAACCTCGATGTTGCTGCTGATCAGCTGGATGGGCTGAAACAGCGGATTTAAAACATGTCAGGGGTGGGAGTGAGTTTCCAGGTATAAAATGTCAGGCAGTAACGTTTTAAGGAGGCCAAATGAGAGCTCAGTGTCATTTTTTTTATTTTTTTTTTATTAGGTTTAAACGTCAAAATACAGAATGCGCAAAAATATATGATAGCTCAGTTTCATTTGACAGCTAACCTAAAAATGAATATATTCTAGCACGAATAGAAGTTGTTTTTTTTCTATATCTCCGTATATCTTTTAGCCGAGGGTGGCAAAGCCGGACCACGCTCCCAACAAAGAATTCCAGCCTGTCTTTAAAGCAACATCAGAGTCCCAGACAGCCGGAGAAAAGAGGGGACTTTTTTCTGGTAACACATACAACATTTCCCACACAGCAAAGAGAAAGACATTTGTCTGGAATTCAACAAAGACACACAAAGCCGTGGGAGAAAATCCACTTTTCATGGATATATTGAATAGACATCATACAGATCATTCTGTGTGATGGGGATTGGTTTTCTTACTTATCTGAATTATCAGCCTATATAGGACCGTTTCCTGTACTTTGCTCTGGTTTTCTGGATCAGTCTTGCTTTTATGTCGGGGAACAAGCTAACTCTGAAGCCCGGGGAGGTGCGATCGCGTCACAATGGAAGCATCCAGAAACAGGGACCAGGTATCCAGCCACAGGCGGGTCAGGGCTCACCTTGACGGAGTTGTAGAAGGCCTCAAAGACGCCCACGCTTTTGGAGCTCAGCTGCAGGTTGACCACTCCCTCCATGCTGAGGGAAATGCCGTGATGCTGCATGGCCTCCTTACATGACAGCACGATGACACCGGCCACAGTTTCCTACACACACACACACACACACACACACACACACACACACACACACACTGTCAGGTCCTGGCTTCCGTCTCAGCTGCTTTAGAGCTGCCAGTGGTTAATGTGTGACATCGCTGGAACAGCGCCCATCACTCCTGATCTCTCATTTTATGCAGAGGTTGTAGATCTACCCTAAACTACCACCAGCTCCATCAGTATGACACAAAACTCTGCACAATTCTAAGTGGTTCAACAACACAAGCATTGGCAGATGCTTTGTGTATGACTGTCAGTAAGCATCCACACATCCGGCCTGAGGCACAGAGTAGCAGTAAAATATAGAAACACTAGCTCTGCTTTCATACAGATAGAGAACTTAAATATAGGAATTATTTATTGACGCGTACCTTGCCTTTAAAAAATTTTTAAAAATGTAATGACGTTTATTAACGAGCATATTTGAGGACTGAATTTGACGGGACACAATTGGACCGGACAGAATTTGCTGTGACACCCACAAGCCAGCTGATGGTCACGTGAGGGCTACGTCTTGGAGCTAACGAGCTAGCTAGTTTAGTGACATTTTACTGGCTAACTCCGAGAATAACGACCTCAAACTTTGCAGGGCTGGTTAGGAATAGTGAACGTTAGCTGAGCAGGTTAGTTAACAAAAATAACCACGGGTGGCTTAGCTCTTACCCCCTCGTGATAGACTTTGTTTGCCCTTTTCAGTCGTATGTCCAGAGTGACGCTCATGGCGGGGTAGAAGGACTCAGCTAGCCACAGCTGCTTACCTTCAGATTAAACTAAAAAACAAACAAAACTGAAAACTGAATGAACCCTCACTGCTGCTAGCTCTGCCTTTGCTCCAATTCATATAAACAATAATGAATAATGAAAATCCGGTCAACACTTTCAAAATAAAGGCAGCATTTCCGCCTGCTCAAAAAGTTTACATCCTTCATATTTAAGGCAGATTTCAGATTCAGAATCAGAAATAATTTAATAATCACAGAGGGAATTGTTTTTGTTACTAGCTCCAAAATACAACAGCATATACATATATACATGTCTATACATATATACATATACACAAAATTCCACACAAAATATAAATAAAAATATGCATATGTAACTGTATTTATATTTTTAGATCTGAAATAAGTTATAATGATAATGCCAATAAATTGGTAAGAATTTACAGATTTAAACTTTTCCCCAGTTTCAAGTTTTAAAAGATCTCTGAATATACACTTTCAATGTAGAGTGCTGCTGGCATAGTTTAAAAAAAAAAAACTTTTTTTTTACTGTTTGTTTTTTTTCCTCTCACCTTTTACTGATTCAAACTGAGGATTAAACATGTTTGCCATCCAGCAAGATGACTTATTTTAAACTTCTGCCTGGCTGGTTCCTCTGTGTTTGAGTTTGCATGGGATTTGCATCTGGCTTCCTCCCACTGTCCAAAAATATGCCTGTTAGGTTGATTGATGATTTGAAATAGATGCTGGGAGGGAGCGTGACTGTGTATAAGTGTTTGTGTCTGTGTTAGCCTGTGATAGACTGGTGGCCATTAACCCCCCCCCCCCCCCCCCCCAACAGTAGCTGGTAAAGGCTTCCCCTGACCCACCCCAATGACGCTGAACTAAGTGTGTGAAGGAAAGTCTTTCAGGCTTTGTACAGTTATGGCATTGTGAACTAAAGTATACACACAAAATCAATTACAAATCAATTACAAAGTTGTCATCAAATGCATATTCACACACACTTTCACTTGAATATGACTAATAAACATAACACACACACACATATATATGTCAGCTAACTACAGTACATATATATATATGTATATATATATAAACTGTAGTTAGCTGACACAGCTAGCGGTGTCCTGCTTTCACTGTGTCCCTTGATAGCTGATATTTTTCTGTCTGGCAAAGGGTTAAATCTTGGTGTCCTTTCAACTGTTTCCACAACATACAACCCCCTTTGTTGGTGTGCGCTGAGCTCCCAGTCAGCTCCAAAATGTTGTCACAACAGGAGATGTCAGCAAACAGCCCACACAGCAGGGCAGCCGGACCGACCTGTTTTAGGGAATGAGTCCCTCTCCTCTTACCTCCACTTACTGTTTCACAGCACTGCAAGTCTGCAATTACAGCGTATTATCACCCAAAAATCAGAAGAAAGTCCACGTTGTGACATTTCAGTCGGTAAAAGTGTACTGAACACATCAAAGCTACTTTCACCCATTAACACAGAAGGGATTAACGTAGTATAATGACCTTTGACATTATAAGATACATTTGTTGAGTTTTTGTAACTGTATATTATCACCTCTGAAATTTTCCAAGAAAGATATACACCCAAAAAGGAAGGCGCTGTTAAAATTAGACTATTTTTAATGGATACAATTTGCCTCACAATCAATTTTGGAGATATGTCCAGTTATGTAGTTCATCGTCCAAATGTCTGGGGAGCCCTCTCAGATTTCCTTCAGGAAGCTCTGTAGAAATCTTGCTTTGCAAACTGGCCAGTGGCAAAGGTATTACTTGCATATACAAAATGTTACTTATTCAATTAGGCGACCCGTTATCAAAGGTTAAAAAACACTGGACTGAAGACATGGCCCTGGACATCTCTGAGGGTGATGTTTACAAAATGTAAACGCAATGTATAAAGAAATTAGTAACAAGTTCAATTAAAATAATTCACAGATGGCATAGAACCCCTTAACAACTTCATAAATGGAATTTGATTCCTAAAGACACTTGCTGGAGATGTAATGAGGAGGTAGTATCTGTTCTACAGATTCTCTGGCCCTTCCATGCTCTTCAAGATTGGTAGAAGAACATTATGGAAGTCATTTTTTAAATTGATGGTCACCTTTTGACCAGAGGTGGCTTGTTCTGGCTCTGACTACGGCAAAAAGGATTATATTAAGATATTAAGGATGAAAAAGAAGCCTCCTCCTTATGATGAATGGCTGACAGCTTTGGTGAACCTGGCCTCTTATGAGAAAGTGACATCCAGCCTCCTGGAAAGTAGATTTGGAAAGGTCGGGGTGGCATATCGGCATATTTGTTGTATCTTCTATAAAACTAAAAACTCAATGAAATTTGCTTTAGAAAATTAAAAAAAAAAAATAGACCATTTTTACTTAGATTCTGCCAGTGGCAATAGGCCATCTTAAGCCATCCCAGCATAAACAGGGATATTGCACTCTTAGTTCAAATTTTACTTTCTCTTCCAGCCATGGTTTTTCTTCAGGCTGGTGAGGGAAAACAAAATGGCATCAAATTGTAACCAATATTTGAAAGAAAAAAAAAGAAAAGCACCTTCAAAGTGAAAAAAGATGCATTTATTGAAAAAGAATACATTTTTTGTGAGCTTTTACATTCTTCTCTGTATTACCATGTCAAATATCGCATCATCTAAATGTCCAACAGAATAGTGTAGTAGTAGTTATAGTGTTCCCATATGTCTTTACTGAAGATAAGTATGTTACAAAATAAGGCAAAAAAAGCACATTTCCATAAAATATGATTTCCTGAGGCAGATAGGAGATGCATCTCTGGAACATGGCTGCTAACAGAAAATGTCCATCAGATCCAAACAGGTCAAATTAAATCAAACATTGGGGATTGCAGGATTTTCTGTGTCACCTAATACAATCGTATTTATGTTTATTAATTTAGTCAAAGGTTTTATTCAGAGCACCACATATTTACACAGCAGTTTCCGATACAACTTTACAAAGAAAGAGAGACAAAAGATCAAATAAAACTATGGCAATAGGTCTAAATGGATTGTATTATCTTTACAACTGATTATATGATTATTTAATTCTTTTCAAAAGACAGACAGTTCTGATGTTTATCACATAAAAGAGCAAACCAAACCTATATCCTCATAATAAGCCCTCTAATAATAAACCCATTCAAATTCAGTGAGACTGTTCAGACATCTTACAACTCCAGGTGCTGAAAACTAAAACCAAAAAACCTCCTGAACTAATTAATCATAAACCATAATGTAAATTGCATCATTTGCTCAGAGACTGTTGCTTTTTGTGTCGGAGCTGCCGTAAAACATTGACATTTTACTGTAGTGAACCGGAAAGAGGCAGACCGCCTCATGACTTGTCCAAGTCTTAACCCTGTAATGTATCATATTTGATACATATGTTTTCTGAAATGTTTTGCGTCTGACTCCTTTTGCATAATTTAATGGTAGGAACTTTGCTCAAAATCCTATTGTACACAATCAAATACACCTCATAACAGGGGGCAGATAACTACACAAAAAATAATCTTGACTTATCGCTTAGTAATAAATTATTGATATTGAAAAATTATTTTTGTTTTTGCTTTTTACATATTTTGTTAAAAGACCAAATAAGGAATTCAAACAAAAAAAAAGGAATTTTCTGTTTTGTTTTATTCTTGAATCAGGCTTTAAAGGGTTAAGATCCATACTACTCTAACATCCCGTAAATCACAGTACATTCAAAAGGTGTTGGCTTCTGTTACTTACATTTTTACACAAAACATGATAAGTCAGGGAAAAAAAAACAATCCACTCGTATCTGGAAAAAAAAACCCAACAGATCTTTACTACTAAAACCTTTTTTAAATATGACTTTGACCAGGGTTCATGTCTGTGGAGGCCGAACTGAGCACCAGTGAGACCGGTAATTTCTCCCGGTCATTTCTTTTCCACGTTCAGGGCCGGGTCGTTGCAGACTTGCACTTTGTCGAAAAAGTTGAAGTCGGCCACGTAGCGCCCGCCGGTGGTGCAGAACAGCACGGGCATGAACTCGTAGCCCCACAGGACCTCCTGGGGCACGTAGGAGGTGCGGCTCTGGCAGGTGGCCGCCGTGGACTCCATGGTGGCGTTGAGGGTGATGAGCAGCTCGAAGTCGCGCGTCTTCAGGTTGTCGGCGGTCAGGCCGGCCAGCGGGCTGCGCTCGTCGATGACGTGGTAGAAGGTCAGCGGGAGGATGAGGAAGGGGCACTCGCCGCTGGAGTCCATGCAGAAGTCCACCGAGCTCTGGTGGATCTGGGTCATCTCGCCCTCCTCGGTCACGTAGGAGCGGAGCAGCTTGCCGGTCAGCTGGCACTGGATCAGCAGGCTCTTCCTCATGTTGGCCACCCTGACCATCAGGCAGCGCCTGCCCTGGTGCCGGCAGATCACCGCCTCCTTGCTGAACTTGATGGTCTCCGCCCGCTTCTTGGGCCGGGCCAGTTTGGCCAGAAAGGCGCCGGTGACGAAGATCTCGGCCAGGCCCGTGATGACCAGCTGGGCCACCAGGGTGAAGATGGCCAGCGGGCACTCCTCCGAGATGTACCGGAAGCCGTAGCCGATGGTGGTCTGGGACTCCAGGGAGAAGAGGAAGGCCCCGGTCAGCGTCTCCACGTTCATCAGGCAGGGCACGTGGGTGGAGTTGTGCTCCACGTCGAAGTCCCCGTTCCCCATCCCGATGAAGTAAAAGAAAACCCCGAAGATGAACCAGGTCATGACGAAGGTGGAGGCGAACAGGGTCAGCTTGTAGCGCCACTTCATGTCCACCACGGTGGTCCAGATGTCGTGCAGGTAGAGCTTGACCATGCCCTCCACGTTGTCGATCCGCACCTTGTTGTGGCCGTCTTTGGACACGATCCTGCGCTGGACCTCTTTCCTCATGTTGGCCGTGTTTCTCCCGTCAAATCCAAACTAATGATCACTCCCCGGCTTTAGTTTGGCATTGCAGATAGAGCAGCTGTCAAAAGACACAAAACAATATTAACATCTCACCTCGATCCCCTCTATCAAAGGCTGTTGTATAGAATCTATTGAAGACTTTGGCATGTATTAAAGATAACTATCAAGAAATGATTGCAAAGATTGTCAGTGTTGATCTGAAGGATTAGTTTTGAGTCTGTTTTCAATACCTTGACCAGCTTCATGGAGCTGTAACCTGGAATAGTCTTCAGGTAACAACTTGTGGTATGTTTGCACAGTGTTGGTATGCAGCCAAAGGCCACATGCGTCCATTACGCTTTAACGATTATCATTCAAGTTCAGTGGAAAAAACACTAACCACCCTCATGAAACATGTTCTTGGAAGGAGTACTGCAAGAATGGAGGACCAGGAGTTTCCTTCAGCAGCCGTCTGAGCCTCAGAAATCCTCCACTTTTCAAATTTGAATTTGAAAAGTGATTCAAGAGTGTAAAATTAAACCTTTTATGACTATCAAGAAAAAAAAAAAGGGGCCCGGATCATAAATAAATTTACCTTAAGAAGATGTTGTATTAATAGTTATATACAGTATGTTGATTGTGAAACATGGTTTCCTTAATAGCAGTCAAAGGCTGAAAGTTGTCCATACATTATGATACAGTGGGAGAAATTACCAACAGATACCCCACATTAAAATAAATCTTAATTAATAAAATTAATTTGAGTTTTTAAGCAAATAATTATCCACAATTATCCTCAGAATGGGAATTATGGTGGGTGACCTTCATAGAAAATTGATTTCTAATGTTAAATATTCAATTTATATCATACTAACGTATTAAATGATCTTACCACAATTGCAGGGTGACATTTAGCAAAGTTGAAAGTTAACCTTGGAGTAAGCCATTGCAACAGCCCCAGAACACTTGTTATGGCATTCATTAATCATTAATTTTGGGATAAATCTATCATACTTACCACCAGTCGAGCCGTCTCGTTGGATGTTTCTCTTTCCTGGTTTCAGAGTTGCGGACTGTAAAGTGAAGCCGGCTGAAAAAACATGCAGTCCAGTGTCTTCTTTCTCCTTTTGTGCGCTCTGAACTTTGTTACAATGGAGTTCCCAGCAGAACGCAGACGAGAGAAGTTGGGCCGTAAACTGCGATCTAAATGTGGGTTGGCTTTTATTCCCCACCGTCTCCACCTCTTCTCAGGTTGGGAACAACGAGTGTGAACGCTTGAGTTTTTTTTTCCTCCTTTTATGGTTGTTGTTGCTTCACACACACACCCAGATTTACTCCTTCCAGTGTTTGTCTGAAGGTCGTTACGATCCCGCCCGGATTACTACAAGGAAAAGGTAGTCTGACAGAAATACGGATAGATGGAAGACTCCAGATATGAGGTGGATCATGAATGCCTCCTGAAAGTCTGTGAACCCTCTGAAGATGAATCATTTCTCCACCATAATATGATTTCATGCACAATTTTTAAAATGGGAAAAAGAGGAAAAAATCTACCGAAATGAAAACTTATTCTTTTTCTCATGTTGCCATGGAGTGAAATGATCCATTAGCATGACCCCAACATGAAACTCAGTTCATATTGGGACATTCGGACATTGTCCTTTGGCTCAAATTAATGACGACCTCTTTCAGCTCGTATAGCTAAAACAGACCCAGACCATGCTTCTACCCCTACACGCCTTATTGTCCCCTTTTTTTTTGTTTTTTTACTGCGATCTTACAGCAATTGGTACCGTTTAATGATCTGGCAGCAGACTTCAACAGACAGTGCTTAGCTTTTTTCCTGAAATCCCCTAATTTTCTGGTGATTCTGTAGATTTTCCTCGACGTCGTGGGCTGGGGTAAAATCTCCAGTCTGGAGATGTTGAATCGAATTTGAATTGAAGGATGGAGCTGGGCATGAGTCAGCTTAAAGAAAGCACAGGAAGCCTTAGGATGCAAACACAACATTACAGCTAACATCAACCTAACAAAAGGAAGGAAAAGCCCTCCGACTGTTAGAGGCAGCAGTGGTGAAAGTGGAGAGATGGAGGGAAATACAGAAAGTGTAGCATAAGGGATGGGGGGGTCCAGCAATTACGTTTACACTTATAAATGAAGAACTTTATTTGTCACTTGCTTGTAAACAATTGAAGTGTTGTTGAAGTTGGATAAACCATGAATTTCTAGGTGATCGCAAACAGAAATATCATCCTCGTACAAATTAATGTTACGCATCATTATTTGGTGTTATTTGGTCATTATTGCTGTTGTATTAGATATGGGACCTCTCTCTGCCCTACGGTGTGTGTGTGGGGGGGCTGTTCTTCGATTTCTGTTCTGCTGCCACAATGCTGAACAGGACAAGGTAAAAAAAAAAAAGAAAGAAAAAAGAGATATGGGAATGCATATTTGTCTCTTTTTGGCGCTTGTTTTACTTTTTGGGGTGAGGAGACATACAGTATGTGTGTGTCTGCTCACAGTGTGTGTCTCACTGCGTCATACAGGTATACAGGAGGGAAAAAAGAGGAATACACAACCAGAAGCGGACGCTGATGCCTACGGTGGATAATTCAGTTACGGTGCCCAGATTCATTTGACATGAAATGCTTTATAAATACTGAGACAATTAGGCAGTCCTGCATTAATGAGTGGTGCAGTTACCAGAAATAGTTTCAGATAGTTTGCTTCATCTATCTTAGGAGCAATAAACAAACCTGAGTATGAATTTTAATGTTTGTCTCAGAACAGACTGACCTTTAACCTCCCTTTTTTGTTCCAAAAATGACAGCATAATGTTGATTGTGACTTGTTGCCACAGAAGAGATGAGCTGATGAGAGGAGGCTGGGCAGCACCACAGCCGGTCAACAGGATCCAAACAGAACCAGTGGTGCCCCCCCCCCGGCTGCTCACCGGCCACAAAGGGTCAGCTCAAACATCCGGTTCTGAAATGACCGGCATCTGAAGAACGAGGTTAGACAACAAGGTAATCACACAAGGTAATTAACTGTTACTTGAATTAGAAAGAAACGTGTGTATCATCTGTGTATGGGGCTATAAAACACACCAAAAAGACAGCTTCTTTAAGATGGTGACCTAAAATTTAGAGGCGGCAAAGGGGGAGAGAAATTATGCTATGGCAGCACAGAGGGGGCTGAAAAATGTTCCATCAAAAGGCTTCTTTTGGGGTTTTTTTATGATCTTAGTTATACAAAGATCAACTAAAAACTCGGAAATGAATGTTCAACGGTAGCCGACTGCTTTTTTTTTAGCCTTTATTAACTTAGAATCTTTTTTTTTTTAATCTTTACATTGAGATCTCATTAATAAAAAATCAAATAAAAAACATCTAGAACAGAATAACAAGGGTTTGGTTATTTACAGAGAAACAAGAAGGCGTTTTAATCTTCAGGATCCAGTGCATAATGTTTGTAATGTTTCTGTAATGAGAGCATTACTGTACAAACTGTCCACTTTCATGCTGCCGCCGTGTTTTTCCCACTCTGAAAGCGGTGATGGGAGTTATCTGAGACACTTATCGCAGCTCAAAATAAACGTTTTCACTACTTAAATAAGAACATTCAGAACTGTTAGCGCCCACCGTGTCCGTTCTCTAGAATCTCCCCCATTTCAACCAATCCTGCGTCAAACAACGTCCCGAATTTCATTTATCCAGAACATTATTCTTTCAGTGTCCTTCACAAGAAAGAAAAACATATCAGACGTTCCAGAAGTGTCACGGTATCAAACGTCCTCCCCAGATGGCTTCTGGAAAAGACTGATTTGAGTCCCAAACGTTTTGGGAAAGCCTTAAATCGTCCAGAAAAAAGCCTTTTCATCCGCTCAGTAGTGAATGGATCTCGTGGTGCCTTTTGAGGGCCTTTTCCTGCCCTCTGAATGAGAGCGTCTTCAAAAAAGGCTGAGAGCTTCCTGCTCTGCTTACAGCCAGGGTTTACTGACCTCAGAGCTATTAAGGAGAGGCGCAGATACACCAAAAACCGAAGCAAACCAAAGCGGGCCCCCAGGGCCAGTGCTCCTGCTGGGGAACAGAGCCAGGCTCACGGGGCCGGCGGGGGGGCGGTGGTGGCTCTCAGGATGCCCCGCAGCACTTTGTAGTTGCTGAGGGGCTGGTTCTCCTTGGGGGGGTAGCAGGGGCCGCGCTCGGTGGCGTAGGAGTAGGGGAAGCGCAGCACCCACAGCCCGTCCGGGGGCAGCACCACCTCCGTCTGCTCCGGGTGGAAGAGCGGGCAGGGCGGGGGCCCGGGCTGCACCTGGGGGGGTCAGAATAACACAACCTTCAGAGCTGAGGTGATACTCCCATCCAGACAGCTGGAAGGAAGCTTATATCGCCAACGGGACATGTGAAGAACTTCAGAAATCCCAGAATTCTGCAAAGACCTGTTCACATTTTTTGTAAGAGCGGCACTTAACCCTATGATGCCAAATGTATCATATTTGATCCGGTTTCTGAAGTCTTTTGGATCTGAGACTTTTTGCATCATTCAGTAGTAAAAGCTTTGCTCAAACCCCTGTTGTACACATTCAGATATACCTGATAACAGCCAGTAGAAGACTACACCAACATAGATTTTTGACTTATGGCATGCTAATTTGATCAAAATAATTTGTTTTTTTTTCTTCATATGTTGCTGAGGGGCCAAAGAAAGACTTCAGACTAAAAAATTCCTATTTCCCTTGGATCAGGCTTTAAATGGTTAAATTGGTTTGTTTTAAGGTCCTTTAAACTTTTTGCAGAAGACTACTGTCTCAAAACCGTTCATCTTCTGTCCACCTCGAATCCTAAGATCACCAGCCCCTTTGTTTACACACCATTTTATAATGCTGGTGTTCTTAAGTGTTACTAACTCTTATTAAATGTTACTAACATCTGTTCCACTAAATACCATCAATGTGCCATTCTAATTGACATACAGAGGAAATGTAGATGAATAATACTACTACTGGCTTTTCCACCATGTGGATGACCCCCCCCCCCCCCCAGATGTTCACCTGTGGGTTCAGAGTGACCTCCAGCGGCGCGTCAGGCACCACCACGAACAGCCGGCTGAGCTGAGCGTAGTGTGGCTTCAGGCCTCGGCCCTGGGAGGGGGAGGGGATGTAGAGGGGCATGTCGGTGTTCAGGACCCGGCTGGCGGGGTCTTTGGCCCCCCCCGGCCCCAGCACCTTGACGATCTTGTCGGGCCCGCAGCTGATGAAGCGCCGGCCGCGGCTGTCCTCGTACTCGAAGCCCACGAAGACCCGGGCCATGTCGTCCCGCCGCCGGCCCCTGCCCAGCCCCCCCGTGCTGCCCCGCTTGCCGACGAGGCTCTTGTTGGGGGCCGGCCACGAGGACGAGCCGCCGTCCAGGGGCTCGGCCAGCCCCGCGTCCTCCTCCGAGCGGGAGCGGATGACCAGGTCCCAGGGCAGGAGGAAGGAGGAGCTGGGCAGGAAGCCGGACTGCTCCAGCCCCGCGTGGCAGTTGTAGGACTTGGCCGGGCCCAGTTTGACCAGCGACCAGCTGGAGAACTTGGGCAGGAGGCCTTTGGAGCAGCCCGAGTGCGTCATGCCGGGCAGGTACTCCACGGTGGAGGGCTGGCGGTCCACCAGGCTGGGCCGCTTCGGCTGGACGGGGGGGGCGTCCCCGTCGGCGTAGGGGCCCAGGCTGTCGCTGGACTGGCCCAGGCTGAGGGCCAGGCTAAGGCTGGTGTCCCCGGGGGTGTGGCTCTGGGCCGTGCTGGGCTCCTTCAGCCGCTCGGCCTCGCCAGAGCCATCACAGGGGGGCCGCTGGGCCGGACTGCTGGCCGGGGCCTGGGGGGGGGCGGGGTCCGGGTCTGGGTCTGGGTCCGGGGCTGGGTCCGGCGCTGGGGCCGGGTCGGGGGTGCTGGGCTGGAAGACCGGGAACTCGATCCTCTCCAGCTTTGCGCAGCATTTCTCCTCCAGCATCTAGTCAGGAAAAACACAGTTACAGGAAAGTAGGTCTAACACAACCTTAATATATACAGAGCTTTTTATTTTATTATTTTTTTATCAGCAAATAGGTTTGTTTAACGGGGGCGATGTGCACAAACTGGCTGAATCCCGGACCGAATGGTAATTTTACTGCTCCAGTTCCCTCTTACTGGCCTCAAAATGTCTGTAAAAAACCTCTACAGAATCCCAGCCCCAACCAGTAGGGAGTCAGCGACTAGACGGTTAAGCAGTGGAACCAAATTTCTACCTCAGGAGACGGGAAAGACGCACCAAACAACTTCTAAAGCTCAAAGCTAGCTCTTTCTAGTTTATATGGCCACCTCTCCAAACACACTTTTAGTGGCTGTGGAAGACACCGAGTCCACTGAGCCTGAGGAAATGTCAGATCCAGAAGAAGGGGGGCGGGATGAAACTACTGAGTGACCGCTGACCTGGTAGAAGTCATAGTTGGCGGCCTGGACGTCGAAGGGGTCCTCTCGAGGAGCCTGTTTCCTGCCGCAGTTGCAGGAGCTGGTGGAGCGCCCCCTGCTGTTGTGGTGCAGGATGGGCGGGTTGTTGTCCATGTCGGGCTTCTCCCCTGAGGAGAGAGGGCTCGGCTTTAGACGGGCGGGCTAGGCTAGGCTGAGGCTCCCGGGGGGCCGGCCGGCGGGTTGCTCACCTGGCTGCGGCAGCAGGTGGAACTTGTGCACGCAGTGCTGGTCGGTCAGGCTGCGCTCCTCGCACAGCTGGTGGCCGCTGCTCCAGAACTTGTAGCAGTCCTCGTGCAGCTGCAGGGCGTAGCGCTGGAAGGCCACGCCGCGCGCGTGCTGGCTGTACACGCGCAGCGCCTGCGCCAGCTGGTTCTTGTGCACGGTGGTGGTGTAGTTGTGGGGCAGGTTGGACTGGTAGGCGCTGTGGGCCAGCGGCAGCGCCTTCTGGCAGCGGTTCTCCGAGAACTTGGCGTCGGCGTCCAGGAAGCCCTCCAGGACCTTGGCCTGGCCCTGCACCTTGGCGGCCAGCTCGGCCAGCTCCTCCTCGGCGTCGCCGACCAGCACCTGGTGGAGCCGCGACGCCACCTGCGTCCACTTGCCGTAGGTGGGCAGCTCGAAGTGCGAGGGCTGCGGGTTCCGGCCCACGCTGTCGTCGAAGCCCTTCTTGGTCAGCACCAGCTCCATGTGCTGCCACAGGAACTCCTTCAGGCTGCAGTCCAGCAGCTGGCCGCCGGCCGGCGGGCCGGCGGGGTCCCCGCCGAGGCTGGGCTGGCGGGCGGAGCGGCGGGCCTGCTGGTAGCGGCGGGGGCCCGTGGGCGCCACGGCGACGGCGGCGTCCGGATCGGTCAGCGCGCAGTTGGAGCGCAGCTGGCCCAGCAGCGTGCCCACGGGGTCGTCGTCCGGCGTGGGGATGACGTAGACGAAGGCCTGGTTGGCCGGCACGGTGAACAGGCAGTTGCTGCTCTGGTTGGTCAGCACGCGGCTCTTCCGGAAGATGCGGTAGATCTGGTCCTCCAGGGCGTGCTGCAGACGCCGGCGGGGGGAGTGCTTCTTGGGTTTGTCCGGGTTCCCCCCCGGCTCCGAGCCGTTCCCAAAGACCTTCGGGGAAAAACAAAAGAAGAAGAAGGAAAAAAAGATAAGACAGTTGTCGTATCTGTGAACAGTTTGCATGTCCTCCCCAGGTCTGTGGGGGTCCCTGGCCCCCTCCCACCATCCAGAAACACACACGTTAGGTTCACTCAACTCTACAAGTTAGTTGTGAGTGTGTGTTTGAGTGTGTGTGTATGTGTGATTATGTGTGAGTATGTGGGTCTCACCCAGTGTCAGCTGGGATAGGCTCCAGCCCCCCCACCCTCATGAAACAAACAAAAAAACTTGCATTTACTGCATATCATCGAGTTATTAAACACCTCTATGGTGTTTAACTGTAGAGGTTTAGCCTCTTCTAATGATGTCTGTATTTTATGGTGGCATCCATACAATAATTAGTAATGCAGTGATGACATCAACTGGAAATAAAAGACTATAAATATGTTTATGACATTGCATTTGAGCCATTTCTCTGATGCTCTCCCGTATGTTTGATATATTTGATTACACTACTTAAAATTTTTAAGGACCTGATGCTGTGGTACAAGTCTGCTTTGGGTGAAATGTTTTGATTTTAATGCTTGGATCCCTCAAAGAGTTTCATATGACCACATCTCAGCTAATCATTCATCACCGTTTCTATGCTCCCTGCCTGTTCACTGGTCTTATTTCCACCCTTTATCCCTCTTTGTAAAATCAGTCTCAGTGCATGTGTTATTTTAATGATGAATATTTCAACTGCCACCAGGTTGTCATTGACCTTTAAAGCGTTTTTTTACTGCACACAGATTAAAAACCAAGGCCCTGTGGGTGGGTCAGAAGCAGACCTTCAGGCTGCCGTTCATCTGAAACACGAACAGCAGCCGGGGGGGGCAGGGCCGGCAGTTCAGCTTCCACTCTTTGGACACCGGACAGTCCTTGATGGCGGCCCGGATCAGGGGCAGCACCTTCTGCCGCAGGGCGTCCAGGGCCCTGAAGAGCCGGTCGTAGGTCACGTCGAAGGTGTGGTTGGGGTGCACCAGCAGCAGGACGTGGCACACGGAGAACATGTAGAGCAGGTGCAGGCAGTGCTGGCGGTCCAGGCCCTTCCACAACTCGTGGGCGTCGGAGTGGCTGGTCCCGGCGCCCAGGGAGTGGCAGGCCCGCAGCAGCTGCCGGCTGTCGCAGATGGAGGACAGCATCAGGTACAGCACCCGGCTCTCCTGGTCGTAGAGAGCCTGGATGAGGCTGTCCGCGGTACCGCCGCCGCTACCGCCGCCGTCCGCTCCGCCGAACAGCGAGAAGATGTGTTTGTCCGCCAGGACGTTGATGAGAGACTCCTTCAGCGGCCCGGGCTGCATGTTGCTTTTCCCGAAAATTCCGACGACACACAGGCCGTCGTCCCGGTGAGCAGCGTCCTCCGGCTGCTCCGACCGGAGCAGGTCCCCCACGCTCACAGGGAGAGCCATGTTAGCTTCCTTCATGTTGAAAAACCGGGGGGAGGAAAACAGCGACGCACCCACTTCTCGGTGTGTTTCCGGAACATTCTACAAAAACGTCCGACTAAAGACAAAGTTTCCTCTAACGTTCCTATGTTGCGTTAATTCCTTGTTCTGATTGGAAGAAAAATAGTATACGTAGTTTATTATAATATAATGCAAAAATCAAAATCTAATTACTTTTTTAATCTATTAGAAATTAGGCCTAATCTGACTCTATAAATTCTGATTTATCATAAAAACAAATCAATTTTATTTGTCGATTTGTTTTTCTCACCTAAAATACAATTTTTACTCGGGTTGCAAAGCTCTGTTTTGTAGGAAAGCATAGCATTTAAGTTCATCCCTATAAGATTATAATTTTAAAATGCTCTGCCTCTGTCAGATAAATTGAGTTCATGTTTCCACATAGTAATCAGAAGTGGAATTAAACATCGATTGAATAAAGCCTTTACTGTAAATGTTGATCTTATGTTGGTATATCTCATGCGTCTTATAATGGCACAATGTGTGACAAATAACTCAGAATAAACGTACAATCCTCTGCATATTTCAAGAGTAATAGTTTTTAATATCATCTATCAATCATTTTTAGAGATGAGTTCAAATTGGCTTTAAAACACTATTACTCCCCATATGTCATTATTGTGATCAAACAGTGAAAGCCAGTGTTTAACTTTAATTGTCCTCTTTACCTCTCCTATTGACCAAATGAATGTATATTGTATAAATACCCTGTAGTCTAGTTTTAAGTAAATAAAAGTAATGAATGTTGATGCCTTCCGGATACCTGAGACTTAAAATCTGGCTAGGTTTTTGCCAAGGACCGCTATTTCAAACCGTTTTGGAGGCTTAGACAGGTGAGCATGGCCTTCATGAAATGCTAATCTCCTCAAAAGCATCTGTCACAGTCCTCCTGAAGAATTCCCGTCCTTATCAGTCAGACTGAGTTGGTGTCCAATAGCATCTTAAAGGGCTGAGTGCCGACAGACAAAGGAAATTCCTTTGTAGTTTCTCCTCTATACGAATTAAGAAGAAAATTGAGAGCACTGGGAAGGTAATCTGGCACTTGTTCTTCTCTTGATGTTCTGCAACCTTTTATAAAGGCATCGAGGATATGGAGGAATTAATCTCTGTGTGGCCCCTTGGATGGACTGGCGACCTCTTCAGGGTGTACCCCGCCTCTCACCCAATGTCAGCTGCAATAGGCCCCAGCAACCCAGAACCCTACTGGGAATAAGCAGAATACATGATGGATGGATGGATGGATGGATGGACACCGAGGACTACTGTCTGCATGCCCAGAGGAAAGTATTTCAATTCTGATGTTCACCCTAAAGTCTTTTTTGGGATTGATTAGGGTGGTGACTTTGGTCGCTTAGTACTTCTTTAGCACTCCATTCTGCTGCTGTACATTCTTTGTAGTCCTGCTTTGAGATAATTAAGAGGAACAAACCCGTCCGTTATGTTGATGGCTCAGCGGATTTCTCTACGAGACTGATGGTTTAAATACACAAAGCCCGTGGGTGTGGGAGCACAGGAAGCCTCACAGGGGAGCTGTGTGGACTTGCCGAGGAGGAAGTGGAACTTTATGGACACAGATATGCTTCCAAACAGGTTAATCTTGATGGAAAACCACACAGTGTGGATTCTCACATCAGCATGGGATTTTCCCTTCCAGGAGAAAATACATCCACTTCCGTCTTTCTTAAAGGAGACATTTTTTTACCAAACATGTTTGACAAAGTGCAGTGTGGTCAAAGCTGACTTTTACAATTCATGCAAACATTTAGGTTTAACTGAAATCCTAAATGTCCAAGTCAAAGTAACATATTCAGATATATTAGTTGGTGATCAATTTACTCTGCGTGTGTTATTCAGATCATTCAAAACACAATGTACACACGAGTGTTTAGGGCTTGATGCTGAAATGATAGAAGAGAAAGCTACATGAAAAATAATCAGAGACGACAAAGAATTCCTTTATTTGTTTTGATTAAAGTAAATATCATAGCATCGAAAGCTGTGCAGTTTCCGCTGGACATGGTAACAATTATGTCATAGCTAATGAAAAAATATATCAACTGGAAAAAGATGTCTTAAACTAATAAGCTGAAAGTACGTAAGCATGTCTCATAATTGAGTCAGACATACCTTAATCTGTAAATCAATTCAATTTGTACCCTTGGACAAGGGCAGTATTACAGTCAATAGATTTAGTCTTGCTTGACTTAACTGCGGATGCAATAGTAGACTTCTAGATTTCCCTCTGCTAAACGGGGAAAAGGAGTGCCTTTGGTTTATTTGACTGAATTGCATAACAGACTTGTGTGGGAATGATTCATGGCAGGGAGAGGACACTGGAGCAGTTTGTCTCAGCGTGATAAGTTATTTGTCCGGTTGTCCACACTCGTGTGCCAGGTGGGAACTGCTAGCAGAAGTGCTGGTCTGGAAAATACATTATTTTCTATCAAAGATCCTCCCTCTCTGATATAGTGTGAATTGGCATTTTAATGCTTCTTGTGGCAAAACAGAAATGTATCCATTTAAAATAGGTCACGGGAGTTGGGATAACCTTTGTGGGATATCGACAACATGACTGCTTTTCTTGTACTCTGATCTTGTCTCTGATCTCTCTGGCCTTCTGAATGTTATTCATAAATCTAGTTAGCTGTTTAATCATATGATGAACCTCAGTAGGGTTCAGGTCCACCTTCACAATTCAATTGAGTGGATCATTCTCGCACACCGGGGGATTACTATCCGTATTATACTCTACTCCATTACTCCAGGAACCGATTTACTGGTCTATGGTCAGAGTGTGGAGGAGGTCATTTAGTCTGAAGAAGGGTGACTGAGTGCTTCTGGACATCTTTTTGATTTAGTCTACAGCAACTATCATTTTGGACATCAGCTACCACTCTGTAGAGTTTGGTTCATTTGATTGGACCAGTTAATTGGTGTTCTTTCTAAATAATAGGTATACAAGATGGTTCCTTTGGGGGTCATGCACCACATTATTGCTCCTACGAGTTGACATGCACCGCAAATAACAATATTCTCTTCAAAAGATGACTCAATTAACAAAACAACTCAAATACAATTAGATGAGAAGCATTATGGCCACTTGCCTAATATCCATGACTTCCTCCTCGTGCTGCCTTAATGACTGTATCAAGTCAGAGAGAGGACAAAGAACGCTGGTGGGTGTGCTTGAGAGTTTAACGCCACGATGTTTGCTGAAGGTCCTTTGGGTTTGCGAGTTGAGGAATGGGTCTTAGTGGATTGTTTTTTTCCCCCAGAGATTTGAGCGCATCGACTCAGATTAGGATCTGGGGAGTTTGGGCGTGGGGTGATGGACTCAGTCTCTGTCATGTTCGGAGCCAAAGCTGTTGAGCAGGGAGGGCCCTCATTGCCGGGCAGATTGTTACTGCTCGGGATAAAAAAAGGTTTACAAATAAAGTTGGCAGCACTTTAAGTATAATTTGTATTCAATATCCACTGAAGTAATTCGATTACATGTCAAATTTCTCAGAAAAGATCAATTTTTCAATTGAATTGTTAGCTTGGACCTTTTCAGTCCACCCTCAGATATATCTGTTCATACTTATGCCCTGACAGAGTGCGATCTGCTGCTTTCCTGTTGTCATGTTCCCTCTGAAAGAGCTTGTCTTTCACCCATGTGGGGTTAGTCTTCATGAAGAGCTCAGTTTCTGAGTTTCTGCCTGCTCAGCACTTCTGTAGTTCTAGGAGTTGATGGGAGTTTTTCAGCTGCAGAATTAGTGCAGGATGAGTCATCGGCATGTACTGGTTCCACATAATGGTGTATGTCATGGAGATGCCACACAGCCGTTTTAATACCTGACATTACACTGCGTGACTTGTTTCTTCTCTTTACACCTCTTCATCTTTTATTTGGATTGGATTGGGACTTTGAATTCAAAACTTTTAAATGTCACTACACCTTTCCTTCTGTGTGCTGAACCTCCATACTGCGCTGTAGACCTCCTTCGTGACGGCATCTCCACAAAAAGCCCTCGGACGTCAGAAGGCGAGCGTGCGCGTTCGCGGCCGACACCGCCGCGGCTCTGACGTCACCGCCCTGAGCTCAGCTGAAATCCCCGGGAACGCGGCGCGCGCCCCCGCTCGGCTCTGAATGGGGATCAGCGGAGCCGGTGACAGCTCGTCCAGAACGAAACGCGTAGCCGCCGCGGTCCGCTCCTTCCGCCCTGCCACCACCGCCCCGCCGCCAGCCGCCGTCCGCCCCGCCGGTAGACCACGGCCCCGCTCCTCCGGTACAACAGCTTTATTCAGGTAGTATGGCCGCGCTCGCACTGTCCCAGCAGCCCGGATAGGGCACTGACTCTTCTCTCCCCCAGCCCGGCAAGTTAGCGGGGTTTTTCTTTTTTTGACGGGCCGAGGTGTCTCTGTCTGTCCAGGAATGAGAAATGATGGCCGGCTCTGCAGCAGAGGAGAAAACCTTCCGACGGTTCCTGGAGCTCTTTATTCGGGAGATGAGGAAGCCTCTGCTGGACTGCGACCCGGTGCCGATTCGCCCCTTGTGGGACCTGATGTCTGAGGACGAGGTGGAAGGGGAAAGCCTGGACGTGTGTCTCCAGCACCTCTACAAATAGTTAAGTGTCCCCCC